TGCGGTGAAGGTCCTGCGGCAGGCAGGGGTGGGCTCTGCAGGGGCTGGGAACGCTGACCTGGAAGTGAGGGAGGGGTCGTGGCCCCGGTCTCGGGCACTCACTGAGGTGACAAGGGGCGCTGTGGGAGTGAACTGAGAAATGGACAAGACCTTAATCTCCACTCCTGGACCTGGAGGGGACGCTCTGGGCAACGGGAAGCTGGGTCTATGGGAATGAGTCTGAGATGGTTGGGGGAGCAGAGCCCTAGCACCTCAATCAGGAGGGCTGCCCATGGATGCTGGGTTCCCAGAAGAACATCAACCATGCAAAAAAGTCTTCAACAAAAGGGGAGAAGTCCCCGCAGCCTGAGACACATGGTGCCTGGACACAGGCTGGGGAGGACCACTGGCCACACGCAGGGGCTGCAGTGCCAGGTGCCAGGATCCTGGGGTGTGTGTGTGTGTGTGTGTGCAGGAGTGGGGAGATTTGCGGTGTCCCTTCTCTGATTGAACCAGAGACTCTCTGGATAGTGTGGGTAGACACTGTGCCCCACGTGCTACAGAGGAGCCAAGGTGGGCCCCTGCCTTCCCCTAACCTCCCTCATGGCAGAGGGGCCTGCTGTCTGCACCCCTTCACAGCTCACAGAGGGGTTTTTCTGTCCATTTTGTGTGACCCTGGCAGTGGGTCTGTCAGATCAGGGAGGTGGGTGACCACGAGACAGGCTGGAGCCTCAGCCCCAACTGCTCTGGGCTGGCAGCGTGGGAACCCAGCCAGGAGAGCAAGGTCTGGGGTGCCGCCTGGAACGGCTCCTACCCTCAGCTCTGGAGGCTTGGGGGCTGCTGGGCGGATGAGGGTGCCCACCTGTACCTACACCCTGTCTCCCAGTTCACACCTGCCCAGTCCCCATGAGGACAGTGGAGAAGTAGGGCACATCTCCATTTGGCCTCTGATTCTGGCCACTTAGCTGATGAGCTGGTCACAGGGAGAGCAGGTCCCTGGGCAGAGGTGTGAGCTGTCTCCCTGAGGAGCGGCCTGCAGCCCTAAATTGGTGTCAGTGTGCATGGCCCCGGGGACTGCAGGTGGGAAGAAGCCTGGCTCCATCCACCAGCTCAGTTCCTCCTCGGCCTCTGTCTCCTGTGAGTGCTTTGCATGTGAGAAGGGAGTGGTGAAGCCAAGGATGCTTCCCATTTGCCACAGATCACCCTTCAGGCCTGGGATGGTGGGAGGCATCAGCTCCCCGCTGCCCACCCTTGATCACTGTCCCCACGCAGAGGGCACACACCCAACAGGGGGTCTCAGATCCCTTATGCTCCCCCTCCCCCAAACCTGACTCCCACGAAATAGCCACCTGGGTCTCTTATTGTGACGTGGAGCCACCTTTTGTTTTCAGTCCTTCAAGCTCTGTCCTTGTTGAAAGGGACCTGGATGGTCACAGGGAAGGAGCAGCTCTGGGAGGGAGAGTACCTCAGGGCCAGCACCCAGGTCTGGTTTTGGCTGAGAGGAGCCCATGTCAGCCTCCAGCAGCCCTGACCCTGCCCTCGTACCCCTGCAGATCCGCGAGCACCCCTTTTCTCACACTGAGCCCCTCTGAGTGCACAAAGACCAGGTAAGGAACCGCCTTTGCTGAGTCCCTGCCCCAGAGGGGCACTGAGGTCTCAGGAAAACCAGAGAACTGGTAGACCCTCCCCACGGCAAGCGAGGACTAGAGCTGGTCTGAGCAGAGATTGGGGGGGGGCAGGGCTGGGACTTGGAGCCCAGATCTGTCACCTAAAACCTCCTCAGTCCCTGCACAGGTGAGAGCTGAAGGTGTGTGCCTGTGTGCCTGTGGGTCTGTGTATTTGTGTGACTGTGTGTTTGTGTGCCTGTGTATGTCTATGTGCCTGTGTGTCTGTGTATGTCTGTATGCCTGTGTGTCTGTGTGTGCCTATGTGCCTGTGTGTCTGTGTATGTCTGTGTGCCTGTGTGTCTGTGTGTGCCTGTGTGCCTGTGTGTCTGTGTGTGCCTGTGTGCCTGTGTGTCTGTGTATATCTGTATACCTGTGTGTCTGTGCGTGCCTGTGTGTCTGTGTGTCTGTGTATATCTGTATACCTGTGTGTCTGTGTGTCTGTGTGCCTGTGGGTCTGTATATTTGTGTACCTGTGTGTGTCTGTGTGTCCATGTGTGCCTATGTACCTGTGTGCTTGTGTGTCTGTGTGTGCCTGTGTGTCTGTGTGTCTGTGTGTCTGTGTATATCTGTATATCTGTGTGTCTGTGTGTGCCTGTGTGTCTGTGTATATCTGTATACCTGTGTGTCTGTGTGTCTGTGTATATCTGTATACCTGTGTGTCTGTGTGTCTGTGTATATCTGTATACCTGTGTGTCTGTGTGTCTGTGTATATCTGTATACCTGTGTGTCTGTGTGCCTGTGTGTCTGTGTATATCTGTATACCTATATGTCTGTGTGTGCCTGTGTGTCTGTGTATATCTGTATACCTATGTGTCTGTGTGTGCCTGTATACCTGTGTGTCTGTGTATATCTGTATACCTGTGTGTCTGTGTATATCTGTATACCTGTATGTCTGTGTGTGCCTGTGTGCCTGTGTGTCTGTGTATATCTGTATACCTGTGTGTCTGTGTGTGCCTGTGTGTCTGTGTGCTTGTGTGTCTGTGTGTCTGTCAGCCTGTGCACGTGTATGTGCCTGTGTGTGTCTGCACCTGTGTCTGTGTGCTCCTGTGTACACATCTGTGTGCACTTGTGTTCATGAATAAGTGTACCTGTGTGTGTCCATGTGTGAAACAGCACTGGGCAGCGAGCATGTCTGGGGTCTGTGGGGAATATGCCTGTGTCTTGAGCCAGCCTCGGTGTAAAGGGCAGATGTCTGTGGTTGGGGTTCGTCTCTGTCAGAGCCATGTCTGTCCATGTGTTTCTCTGGCAGAGCACGTGGCCCCTGAGGTTTGGCAGCAGTGTGCCTGGACTTCATGCGTGAGGCCTGTGGGCTGGGTCTGGATGTGCTGGGGCATGTGGGTCTGTGTGTCTGTCTACTTGGTGGAGTATGGTATAGTGCGAAGGCCTGTGCTGGCCTGGGGGCCTGGATGGGGAGGGGTGAGGCTTTGAGTCACAGTGCCTGGGTGCCTCTGCGTGATTCTGAGTTTGGGGACATGTGTGTGACTGCACTTGGATCAGGCTGGGAGCATGTGTGTTCACTGGTACAGCACAGTGGACCTCGGGACCTTCCACTGGTCCCCTTGTGTCGTGTGATGAAAGTAAAGGGCTCCAGCTGCAATGCCAGTGTCCCATCTACCAGATAAAAGGACACTTTCACTTCGCCTTTCAGAGAAACAGAGTGGACAGGACAGACATCTGTTCCCAGTCCCACAGTTGGCCAGTGGCAGTTATCAGCTGACACCAGGGGTCAGGAGCACCAGGAACCACAGTAGGAGGAGATAGAGGGACCCAGAGGTCTTTTTACCTGGGGTCCCGGCAACTGACCCCAGCGAGGTTTGACCAGGCTCCCTCCTGCTGCACAGCGAGCGTCGCTGGGGCCCCAGAGGGGGTGTAGTCAGCCGTTGGAGCTTGTGCGCCCTTCCACCCCTCCTGTGAGCCGCCAGGGCCAGGACAGCCCAGCAAGGGTCCTGCCGTAACCCTGGCTGGGGATCTGAGGCCAGAGAGGGCAGCTGTCCTGTCCAGGCAGGTGAGGAATGTGAACTGAACCCTGGCGCTCTGGGCTCTGCCCCCCAAGTCTGTGCTGATGGAAGTGGCATGTTCCTGCCTTGAGCAGCCGCTCAGCAGCACTCCGTGGGGGCAGAGGGGCCTGTGGGAGTCCTGGCTTCTACTCTCTGAGCTTACTCAGCTACTTACCCAGCTTGTTTAGCAAATCAACTGGATGTTACTTCAACGCGAGTGTGTGACCCACTCAGGGCCACCTTCTGAGTGCAGATAAGAAGCTAAAAGCCCAACCACACTACAAGGGAGGGGGTTAGTTTTTAAACAATTTGTACGTCTGGAAACACAGCCTGAGGCGACTGGGACATTCTGAGGGCTCCGTTCCTGGGAGAGAGTTCAGACTGATGTGGGGTAGGGGTGCAGCAGGCGCTGGACAAGAGCACCTGAGCCAGCACATCCGTGTGACAACAGGGAGGAGGGGACCCGGGCTGCTACGGTGTGGCCAGGGTGGGCTGGAGGAAGCTGACTTCTGTCTTCAGGATCTGGTACCTTCAAGCCAATGAAAAAAATTCCTTTTGGCAGCAAGGAAATTGCCCACCAGTCCAGCCCCTCTCAGAGGCTTGACCATCACTGCAGGGGGCTGGGATCAGGGGCACAGGGAACCCCAGTCCTGAGAAACTCCCAGCACAGCTGTGGCTTCAGTGACGCAGTTCTGACTGGAGGGCTGGGCCCTGAGGGTCTGTAAAGGGGACTTGGAATCCCCAGGACCCTGAATTCTCCTCGGAAACAGGCACTACCCTGTCTAGATGTCAACAGCACATGTGTGGCCAGGTTTAAGCTGTCGGGTAAGTTCTGCATGGCTGTCGTCTGGAGTACAGACAGGAACCAAGTCTCAGGCAGTGGAGATTCACCCAAAGACGGCAGGAGCTGCTCCAGGCCTGGCCCATCCCCCACTGACACACACCACCCACTGTCACTGACCTAGGTGACCTTGGCCGTGGCCTCCCCCTGCGTCCCCATGGGGCTGAACTAGGCCTGGGCCAGGTTCCTAAGTGGGACCTCGGAGGCATGCTCATGGCGCCCTGCATGTCTCCCCAGCAATACGACAGTGTTTGTCTAAAGTCTGGCCAGGCCGGGCTGGCGTTGCCAGGGCAGGGCCCACATCTGCCCAGCTCCCACCCAGTGGCCCTAGGCCAGGCCGTGGACCGTCCTGGGGAACACAGACCAGGAGGGGGCCCCCTCCCACCTCCCGGGAGCTTGGCTCACACACAGCAGAAGGGGAACCATGGCCTCTACCTCCCATCCCCCACCCTCTATCCCCCCTCTGCCTGCCGGCATCTAAGCCTACACCTCTGCACCAGGCAGGCTGTGCGAAACATGTCTGCAGGGGACAACAGCTCCGAGGTGACAGAGTTCATTCTGGTGGGCTTCCCGGGCTCGCTGGGCCTCCACGTGTGCCTGCTGGTGCTGTTCCTGCTGGCCTACACCCTGACGGTCACAGAGAACGTGGTCATCATCGCTGTGATCTGCGCCAGCCCCCCACTGCACAAGCCCATGTACGTCTTCCTCAGCAACCTGGCCTTCCTGGAGGTGTGGTACGTCTCGGTCACCGTGCCCAAGATGCTGCTCAGCCTAGCTGCGCCCCGGTTCTGCCGCATCTCCTTCGCAGGCTGCATGGCGCAGCTGTACTTCTTCCTGGCCCTGGCCTGCACCGAGTGCGCGCTCCTGGGCGTCATGGCCTACGACCGCTACGTGGCCATCTGCAGCCCGCTGCGCTACCCGGCCGTCATGAGCCCCGGGCTCTGCAGCCTCCTGGCGGCCGGCTCCTGGCTCTCGGGTTTTGCCATCTCCCTGGGGAAGGTCTTCTTCATCTCCCGCCTGGGCTACTGTGGTCCCAATGTCATGAATCACTTCTTCTGCGACGTGTCCCCCCTGCTGAACCTGGCGTGCTCCAACATGTCCGTGGCGGAGCTCGTAGACTTCCTGCTGGCGCTGCTCATCCTGCTGGGGCCGCTGCTGCTCACGGTCTTCTCCTACGCAGCCATCATCCGGGCCGTGCTGCGCATCCCCTCCGCCGCCGGCCGCTCCAAGGCCTTCTCCACCTGCGCCTCGCACCTGGCCGTGGTGGTCATCTTCTACTCCGCCTCCCTCTTCATCTATGCCCGGCCTCGCGCCCTCTACTCCTTCGACCTCAACAAGCTGGTGTCTGTGGTATACACGGTGCTCACGCCCCTGCTGAACCCCATCATCTACTGCCTGCGCAATCGGGAGGTCAAGGATGCCCTGCACAGGGTGGTCCAGAGGGCAGCCCAAGCCATGGGTGCCTCCTCCTAGGTGCCACCCCAGTCCCCCATCCTTGCAACCCTGTATCTGTGCCCTGTGTCCCTTCACTGGCTCCACTGGGTGGCCAGTGGCCGGGGTGAGGGGCTGAAGGTAGCAGTCAGACCATCATCCCTGTCCTTGCCACTCGTCCAAGCAGGCCTGACCAGAACACAGGCCTGCTGGGGACCACACAGGGTGATCATCCTGACCAGATTCACCCCTCTCAGTACCTGGAGCAGGCACCGCGAGACGAGCCCCCTCCCTCTGACCCAGGCAGGAGTGTCCTCCGGCTCCCCACATGAGGGTGCAGACCTGGTCCCTGCCTCCCGCGGAGGCTCCAGACAGCCTCTGCTGGCTGCTCCCTCTTCAGCCAGACCCGAGGGGGCCTATGAGGGGAGAGTCTTGGGCCACCCAGGCTGACTCCCAACTGGAAAGGAGAAGGAGTGGGCATGTTGACCACACAGCAGAGGAAGTAAGACTCCAGGGGGATGGAGGACATCCCCAAACAAAAACGGAGCTACCCGCCCACAACCACACTTCTACCCTGTTAGGAGTGGGTGACGTAAACGAGTCCCAGGCCTGAAAGCGCAGGTAGGACCTGTGCCCACAGCCCTGCCCCCCTCTGCCCCAGGCTCCGGAGACCTCCACCAGGGACACACACCCTCGGCCCCTTCCAGCCACCTCCCAACCGGCTGCCCGGCTGCAGCCTCACTGCGACGTGGATGTGGCACAAGGAGCCTTCCTGGCCGTGGCCCCCCACACGTCACCCACAGGAGACTGGCATGGAGTTGTCCACACCCACCAAAGGCCTGGCTTCTGGGAGCTGACCAGGGAGCCTCGGTCTCCCCTGGGGGAATCCTTAGGTGCTCCCCTTGAGGCTGCAGAGAGCATGCCGGCCACCTGCGGACACGCAGGGCCCAAGCTGGAGGGCAGCAGCAATCATGCCGACTGCTTTCCTGTCGCTCCCAGAGTCCCGCAGGCCCGGCCCCAACCCTGCTGCAGAGGCAGACTGTGTGGGGGTCAGAAACGAACAATGCCTTTGCAGGTAATAATCGTCAACCGTGCCTGCACCGTGGGGACAAACGAGAGTATTTGTCCCACCGATGGACAGGTGGGATTTTGAGCTTCACTCTCAGGGCCACTCAAGCAGCATCCACACATTGGGCTCAGCGGGTGTGACAAGCCCTGTGCTGACCAATGACCCCAAGACTGGGACACTGGACCCCACCCTCAAAAGGGCATTACCAAGGGCGAGGATGCATGTGGTGTGGGTGGGCAGCCAAAGAAGCCCATCTCCTGTGGGGGGAGGTGGTGCTGGGCTGCTGGAAGGTCTCTCGGGAGGAAGGACAGTGGGAACAGTCCCGGTGCTGCAGGGCCAGGACTGTGGGCAGAGCTAATCCCAGGGGCCCCCTGCTGGACAGGCTCTGAGAGTCCCAGCCACTGTAACCGGACACATGTCCCATAGAGGTGCCTTTAAATCAGAAACTGTACTTCCAAATCAAACTTCTGTAAATGCATCGTTTAAAAATGCAGAGGGAAATGCTGGCTCCGGATTTCTCATTTCATGACTGAAGCTGGTGCTGCTCAGCCCTGCCGAGACAGGCGGGGCAGGGACCTCCCAGCCTGACTGGAGACCTGGAAGCGACAGGTGCAGCTGTCAGTGCCCGCCACACAGTGGGGTCTGCAAGGTGCCAGGGACCCAGGGTGGCCCAAAGTGACGTCAGAAGGACAGCTGGACAGGGATGGGGTGGGGAAGGGCAGGGGTCTGATGAGGAGCCAGGGTGGGGTTCATGAACTTTTGGCAACAGGAAGCCCCTGAAAGGCTTTGAGCATGGCAGGCTGACTCATACTTGTGTTTCTGAAAAACTGCTCTGACTTTGGAGCGGACGTGGGTACAGCAACACAAGAATGAAAGCGCAAGTCCAGACGCCTCGACCTCCGTGACAGTAAGTGAGAGTTCTGTGCAGGGTTGGAGAGACTCAGGATTAGAACCCAGGATCGTCAACGTTCTGAGGTCGGGGAAGAACAGGTGAGCACCCCATCCCCTGAGGGTGGGCGCCACCCACCCAGACGGCAGGTTTGGGGAGGAAGATGCTGGGCTCAGTTCTGTAAATGTCCAACACCGGGACCTGGAGCTCCGGAGAGAAAAGTGGGCTGGGTATAAAACTTGCAGACTTGCCAGCACATAGAGCGTAAATGAAGTCAGCAGCATGAGTGAGGTTGCCAGGGAAGAGGGAGATTGAGCAAGCAGGGGCCAGAGAAGCGTGAGGCAGAAAAGGGTGTGGTGAGTGTGGGGTGGGGACAGGACCCAGGAGGGTGCTCAGCAGAGCCCGGCAAACACCCAGTGAAATGAGGGCTGAACTGCCTCTGGGTTTGTCAACAGATGGGCCAGATGTCGGCGTGGGGACAGGCTTGGAGGAGGTGGTGTGAGAGGAGGAGAGGTGAGGGGTGGCAGACAGCCTGCTCCTTCTGTGAAGACAGCCTCACTTCAGTGTACCCACTTACATGCTGACCAGAAAGGACTTGGAGAGAGGAGGACTTGAGATGAAAGGGACAGACCCCAATTTAGGTGGGAATGAGATGCAGGAAACATTCCAGGACTACTCAGCTGGAAAGGAAGATGCCCCCAGGGTGGGGGCCCAGCCCTCAAATGGCTCTTGTTGAGGGGACGATGCCCTCTTGGTCCAGAGATCCTGGTGGGTCTCCCTACCAGACTCTGCAGAGCTGTAAGAAGTGCCCCTCTGCCCCATAGTGACAACCCCTCCCTGGGGCTCATTGGACTCTGCCCCAGACATTCTCACCCTAAACTCCACCCTCCCTGAGACTTTGCGTCATAGTGGATCATCTATGCACAGACTTTGGACTTGGAGTCACATGATTCTAGACAACTGGCACCACCATGTGTCTGCAAGAAGTAAAAACAAACAAACAAAATCCCTTCCAGAGGAAGGTAACATCTGAGAGTAAGCTCCAATCAAGTAATTCTTCTATCACAGTATTCAGCACACAATCAAAGATGAGCAGGCACATGAAGAAATACAAGGTCAGGAACAACAGCAGGTGTGGCACTTTCCAGAAACAGACTTGAAAACAAGTACAAGTAGAAAGTCGGGAGGATATAGACAGACTGTCACTTGACTGACTGGCACTCTGCCAACACAGAGAGCACATGGAATAAGGGAGACCCATATTCTAGGCCATAAATTAAGTCTCAAGCTTAAAATAATTAAAAGTAATACAAAGTATGTATGCTGACCATAATAAAATTAAAATAGAAATCATTAAAAGACTAAGATCTCTGAAAAATCTCCAAATATTTGGAAACAATACACTTCTAAATGACCTTTAGTTAAATAATAAATCAAAAGAGAAATAAGAAAATTTTTTTAAATGACTATGAAAACACAGCATATAAAAAACTGTGGGATTCTACTAAAGCAGTATTTAGAGGAAAATTTATAGCCTTAAAATCAATGACATTTGCCTACAGATTAAGAAACTAGAAACATAGAGGGGAGGGGTCTGTGTAAAATAGATTAAGCAAAAAACAAACAAACAAAAAAACTCATAGACACAGACAACAGTATGGTGATTATTAGAGGAAGAGAGGGCTTGGGGGAGGTAAAAGAGGGTAAAGGGGGGATAAATGGTGATGGAAGGAGACTTGACTTGGGATAGTGAACACACAATACAATTACAAATGATGTATTATGGAATTGTACACCTACACCCTACATAATTTTATTAACCAAAGTCCCAATAAATTCCATTAAAAAATGGAAATAAAGAAAAAAACTAGAAACATAATAACAAATTAAACACAAAATAAGTAGAATAAATAAAATAATAAAAATCAGAACAGAAATCAATGACATAGGACACAGAAAAAATAATATAGAAAATCAATAAAACCAAAGCTGTTTTTTTGAGAGTATCAATAAAATTGATATATTTCTAGTCAAGCTCATCAGAAAAAATTAAGAAACAAATTATCAATATCAAGAATGAAAGAGGTGACACCACTATAGGTTCATTAGCTCTTAAAAGGATAGTAAGAAAATACTATAAACAACTTTATAGCAAAAGATTTGACAGTTTAGATTAAATAGACAAATTGCTTGAAAGACACCAACAGCCAAAGATCACTCAGAAAGAAATAGATAATCTAAATAGCCTGTATCTATTAAATTTGTAAATAAAAACTCCCCCTTCCCTCACACAGACACACACACACAAATGTCAGAAGAGATGGTTTCACTGGCGAATTCCACAAAACTGAAGACAATAAAGTACTTCACAACTCATTCTATAAAACCAGAATTACTTTGATTCAAAAAGCAAAAAAGAGATTATTTCTAAAAAGAAAGCTACAGATCATATTTCTCCTAAATATACATGCAGATTTTCTAAACAAATCGTTGGCCTAAAAAATCCAACAGTATTTACAAAGCAAATACATCATGGCCAAGTTAACATTTGAAAATCGATCAGGAAATTGAAGCAGCAATAAAAAAATTCCCAATAAACAACAAGTCCTGTACCAGATGGCTTCACAGGTAAATTCTACCAGACATTCAAAGAAAAGCTAACAGTTACCCTTCTTGAACTATTTCAAAAATTCAAGAGAAGGAAAGATTCCCAAACTCATTTTTTGAGGCCAGCATTATCTTAATTCCAAAACCAGAAAAATATACTACAAAGAAAGAAAATTATAAGCCAATAGCCCTGATAAACAGAGATGCTAAAATCCTCAACAAAATATTAGCAAACTGGATCCAGCAATACATTAAAAAATCATACACCATAATCAAGTGGGATTTTTTTCTGAAAATGTAAGGTTGGCACAATATCCACAAATCAATAAACATGATACATCATGTAAACAAAATGAAGGATAAAAACTACATAATCAGCCCTGGCCAGTTTGGCTCAGCGGTTAGAGTGTCGGCCTGCGGTCTGGAGAGACCCGGGTTCGGTTCCCGCTAAGGGCACGTACTTCGGTTGCAGTTTGT